GTGCCTGATCAGGTCTGAGTCCACAGGAACTTTAGAGTCCACGAAGACCTGCAGTCCTGCACCTCCTGCTGCCTCCACTACACACAGACAGGAGGAGGTGTTAGCAGGAGGAGGACAGATAGAAGACAGATGTTGGACAGACAGAGGACAGATGTTGGACAGATGTTGGACAGACGGACAGATGTTGGACAGATGTTGGACAGACGGACAGATGTTGGACAGACGGACAGATGTTGGACAGATGTTGGACAGATGGACAGATGTTGGACAGACGGACAGATGGAGGACATGTTGGACAGATGTTGGACAGATGTTGGACAGATGTTGGACAGATGGACAGATGTTGGACAGACGGACAGATGGAGGACATGTTGGACAGATGTTGGACAGATGTTGGACAGATGTTGGACAGATGGACAGATGTTGGACAGATGGAGGTGACAGAAAGACAAGTCGTTTTTCTCACCTGTGTCTGAGGTGAGGCTCTGGTCCCTGAGCTCTGATTGGTCAGTGTGCTGATTGTGGGCGGGGTCAGGCAGAGGAGGCTGGTAGATCTCAGAGATCATCCTGGACATGAGCTGCTGCTCCACCCTGCACAGAASAGAACTCCATCAGGACCAGGCAGGACCAGCAGGGTCCGGTCCAGACTGGGTTCTCACCATTCCACCAGACGGTTCTCCAGGACCTCCTGCTGCCGGCTGCTGGCTCGGACCAGAACCGGACTGTGATCGTGGTGGGAGGAGGGGGCTCCTGGAGGGAAGACTGGACCTTGGTACTGGACTGGAGCASGAGATGGACCTCCTTCCAACACCACAGCCTCCTCTTCCAGAACATCAGGCACCTCCTCCTGAGGGTCAGAGCAGGTTCAGGAGTCACAAGGACCAGAGGACCGGATCCAGATCTGTTCAGTTCTGGCTGCGTCCTGCAGGGGGCKCTGCAGACTGAAAACTGTCTCACCTGGAGGACGGCAGTCCCTGGACTGTCAGTTCCAGGSATGATGCTCTCCTCTTCGTCTCTGTGGAAGTCTTCCTCCAGGATGTCCAGGATGATGGACCGCTGCTGTCGACACAAAGACGTGTTTGACCTTTGACCTCTGCTGGTTGTTTAGAGAAATCTACAAACTTTGAGGAGTTCAGTCCACTCTGACCTCAGAAACATTTACCTGCAGGTGGAACTGAACTGAGTCTGTCACACCTGTCCTGCCTGCAGCGGGGCGGGGACRTCTCACCTGTTCCTCCTGTGCGTTGTCACTCATCTTCTCCACTGTGGCTGGGAGCCGAACAGGAAGTACTGATGCCACTTCCTGTGGACGCTCACGCCTGGAGGAGTCCATCCTGGGACGACCTGCAGGAGGACACGAGTCAAACAGGAGGACACGAGTCAAACAGGAGGACACGAGTCAAACAAGACGACACGAGTCAAACAGGAGGACACGAGTCAAACAGGAGGACACGAGTCAAACAAGACGACACGAGTCAAACAGGAGGACACAAGTCAAACAAGATGACACGAGTCAAACAGGAGGACACGAGTCAAACAGGAGGACACCAGTCAAACAGGAGGACATGAGTCAAACAGGAGGACACGAGTCAAACAGGAGGACACCAGTCAAACAGGAGGACACGAGTCAAACAGGAGGACACGAGTGAAACAAGACGACACGAGTCAAACAGGAGGACACCAGTCAAACAAGAAGACACGAGTCAACAGGAAGGATTGGTATGTTATAATCTATGATATATCAGTGATGGAAAGAATCATTTTCTCAATGAGACTTCAGTAATAAAGTTCAAGACGCTTGGAAGAGATGGAAGATGTAGATTTCACTGAGACGCCCTTCCTTTGTTTAGGTCTCAATTTCTTTTCTTTTTTTTTTCTTTTTGCCTCTTTCTGGAAGAATCATCTTTATTTTTAAGAGACTGAAACACAAAACTCAGGCTTTAAAAAAATCACAGTCTAGATCCAAACACCTCCTCTGATCTAAAGCATGATGTTTTTAACTCCTGACTGCTACAGTTAGACAGCCTGTGTACTGTGTTCTTCTCTTTTGGTTATTTCAATAAAAAAAGAAAGAGTTTGACCTGCAGGTGGGAGCAGAGTTTTATTTACTGACCCAGTGGGATCGCCATGGCGATGGGGAAACTGTCTGCAGGGGTCTCAGACAGGTGAGCGGGGTCACGTGATGAGGGGCGTGTCTCGATGAGGGGAGGAGCCCAACTGGTCTGAGTTTTACAGGATTTCACCGTCACACCTGAGAGCAGAGACAGGAAGTGCTGAACATCTGAACATTTAAACAGGGTCTGTTTGTTTGTTTGTCTGTTTATCTGTTTGTTTGTTTATTTATCTGTCTGTTTGTTTGTTTGTCTGACCTCTGATGCTCTCCACCAGCCGGGGGCGGGGCTTTCTGCTGAGCGGTGAAGCAGGAGAGCTGAAGCGAGGATATGGACTCCTCTTTAAGGTTCGTCTCAGACCTTCATGTGGGAGTTTACCGTACAGACGAGTCAGGTACGTGTCTCTATCCTCCTGCTGCTGCTGACCGCTGTCCATCAGTTTACCTGTGACCCTTGGAGGCTCGACCTCCTGCAGCAGAGAAAGCATCAGGGACGTAGTCCTCACCTGTACCTGACTGATCAGAAACAGCACTAACCACTTGTTGTCTTGCTCTTTGTCCTCTGCTTCTCACTGCAGCCTTACTTCCTGCTGGTCTGAGCACGCCCACCGGCTTCCCTCTACCTGCAGGTCTCACCTGTGAGGCTGCAGCCTTCAGAGGACCAGGAGACTGAGGACAGGTAAAGTCATCACACTTCTCTGTAGCAGTCTGGACTTTCAGCTGATTCAGGATGCAGGACTTACCTGGATTTCTTTGGTTAAGGTGCTGATCCACGAGTCCACGGTCTTCTTGATCCGAACCTCCTCAACCAGGTCTCTGCAGAAAACAAAAACCATTTCCAGTTTTCCTCATCCACCAATCAGCTGTTGGATCTCGTTAACTTCAGCAGCCAATCAGCTGTTAGAGCTCGTTAGCGTTAGCTACCTGTTAGCAGCCAGGGCTTCCAGCTGGCAGTGCAGGATCTCTCCAGTCTTGGCTTTGAGCAGGGTCTCCAGGTTGTCCTCCAGGACTTTCTTCCGTCTCCGGGCCTGACGGAGAACCTGACTAGCCTTCTCCAGCATGGACGGGTGGACAGGTCTCCTCTGAACCAGTCCAGACTGGAACTGATGGTTCTGAATCCCATGAAACGGGCCGTGAGAAGCTGGATAAAGGTTTCTTTGAGACTCTGTTGGATTAGACTGAAGGTTTTGGTCCTCAGACTGGTTCTGGTGGGACTCCAGGTGTTTGAACTGGTTCTGGTGGGACTCCAGGTGTTTGGACTGGTTCTGGTGGGACTCCAGGTGTCTGGACTGGTTCTGGTGGGACTCCAGGTGTTTGAACTGGTTCTGGTGGGACTCCAGGTGTTTGGACTGGTTCTGGTGGGACTCCAGGTGTCTGGACTGGTTCTGGTGGGACTC